CAAACGTTTGTGCACGACCCATTGCGGACTCCCCAAATGCTTGCTTTAGCATTTCATAGGTTTCCGTAGCCGTTTTGGCGAGTCTTTGGCAAAATTTGATGCACACGCCATTCCGAAATCGCAGGAGGGTCGGTGTAATGCACTACCAAAACGCCCGTAACTAAGAAAGAAATGCTAATTCGATGATGCCGGCTGGCACACTGATTCACTATGAATGTAGGCCGCACCCCCTAGCGGTAGAAGCTCGTACTACATCTGGTTCGCCCGCTATTGACACAGTCTTGAAACTTTCCGATCGCACCTCGTATGTTCATCCCAGCACAACCTAACCTTAAAAAGAACCAAATCGTCCACCAATGTACAACAATAAATACATGATGATGATTGTGATGATAAAAACTCTACAAAAATAATTATATGTTCCCAAGTTTTAATAGAATAAGATTAAACATGTATAACTTCTTTGTTTCACAATGATCTTCTATTATAAAAATTTGTGATTTGTCGTCGTCGTCGTCAGAAAAAGACGTCATCAAACAATGTTACGTCATCATTGTTATTATTGTGAAGGGGCAGACTGTCTCTATAAAAGTTTAGTGGGTAACAGGCCCACTGTTCAGTACCCAGATCACAACATAATTGAATACAAAAGAGCAGTGGAATGATATCGACAGAACACTCTGAGAAGAGACCAACTAAGAACCATTTTTGTCCATCACAAATTCCACATTGGCTGCTCTGGGTGCGAACCTGCTTACCCATGGTGAGAACCAGTGACATTTCGTCCAAGATCTAACGCCTCTCTGTGACATAATAATGCTTTTAAGAATAAGGTAAAGGTGGCGAAATATGTCTGAGATGTGTGTGCAGACTTAACCTAAAAACCAAACATTATCCAGTGACATAAATATCTTTATTGCTGTATTCTCGTTATTTTGACATTCAAGTGATAACACACATGCAAAGTTTCATACTAACATTTTTTTTGGTACAGAATGACAAAAAAGGCTAAAGCATGTACCCGTTTATTTATTATTCAGACACGAAACTAACTATTTAAATAGTTAGTTTCGTGTCTGAATAATAAAATGTAATTTTATGTGTGAGATAAGAATGAAAACCATTAACCCTTAGTTTTATAATTTTCGATACATGTAATCAAAAAAAAAGGTAACTAATGAGAAATTAATCAGCTAAAATATTATAACTTATTGCGTTGGGGCACTCCTGGGGTTTCGCCTTCAAAACGTCTGTCAGAAGTAAGTGCTGGAGACACGAATGAATAGTCCTGCAATACAAATTACAAAAGTTAAAAGTAAGTAATTACATTCCGATGTACTCGAACTTTTTAAATATGGTATCATAACTAACTAACTAACTAACTAGATGGCTTACGGAACCCGAAGGTTCATCACCGAATTAACCAAAGCCCTCCACCGGACCCTGTCCTGGGCCAACAAAATCCAGTCTCCTTCAACTCCTATCTCCCATAGATCCCACCTGAGATTATCCTCCCATCTACGTCAAGGTCTCCCCAGCGGTCTATTCCCCTCAGGCTTCCCAAATAGTGGACCCAACCAAC